CTCGCACCCTGGCCCCGCACCCCGGCCCCGCCACCCCACCGATAGGAGCGACGCAAGCTGTGACGCGCACTCACCAGAGTGCGCCCATGCGCGCGCGGGTCCACGACCCAATCTCGACGCGCGTCCCCCAGGCGCGATGCAGCGCTGCCGACACGCAACACAACGCCGTCACGCTCGCCCTGCGCGCCGACGCCGCAGGCGCCCCCCGTTTCGTTGCCCCCTTGATCATCCCCGCCCCGCCCTCGCCTGCTGATTGCCCGGCCACCCATTGGCCCTGCATGCCTCTCCGCATCACGCGCCCTCGAAACCCACGCCTGTACGATTGCTGTACCGCCGGTACCGCCCGAATGGCCCCCGCATCTCGGCGCGGCCGGCCCGTTTTCGCCTGCCATCCGGCCGCCATTCACGCGCGCATTTACTTCCGGCGTCGACGCCCGCATTTGCAAAACTGCCACTAGGCTAGCATGTTAGTGAGGCTGTTTATAGGTGAAATGCGTCCGGGTTTCGGCTGATGCACGGGAGTTGCCGCGTCCACACGAGTCATTGGGTGTAACCCCTCAAAGTTGCGGCTTCACATTTTGGTAATGCAAGTTGAGGGATTACACGTGGGGTTGGGTCCTGGCCTAGAGTAGCACTGGGCTAAAGCAGCGCTCTCCTGAAGCAGTCGTGGCCTGAATACTGACATTGAGTAGAGACGGCTGCACATGACAAGGGCATTGAGCATATGGCCAAAGAAAACCTTCCTATCAATCCACAACCAATGCTGGGTGCCCCCCTCCCGCTCAGCACTCCTGGGGTAAGCAGCAGTCGCCGCCTCCAGACCTCCGTGCACGCCGAGGCAGCAGAAGCGAGGCAGGCAGGCCATGGTCGGCCGCGAGGGCCCTAAACCCTAAACGACGACTGCCCCTGCGCCCTCTCCCCGCCGCCACGCCAGCACCCCCGAGCCCGCCGGGCTGCCAGTCGCGGCGCTGCCGGCAGGCCGCCGCTCTTGGCACACGTAGGCGCCGCCAAACTCGAGGGCTGCATTCTCAAAAACGGCTGAATCCACCAAGCGGTCCCCAAAGGGGCTGACCTCGTACACCCTGAGAGTGGCGGCAGCCACATGGGACTGGACGGTGCAGGCCTAGAAAAGGGCGGGAAGACGGACGGGCAGGTGGGGGGAAGGGGGGCAGGCGCAATAATGAGCTGGGCCACGCGTGAGGGGGGAGGTGTGAATGGGTGATGGAACGGCGGG